TTAATTTATTGTGATATTAAAACGTAGTATTCTATGATTTTTTTTATAATTAGCAACTAAAAAATGGAAAATAATTAAAAAAGGCCTTAGCTGAAGATCTATATCACCGAGAGAGAAAAAATAATTGAGGGATACCCTCCGAGATATATAACCATGTACATTTCAAGATTATTTCTAAAAGCAACACCCTATTAGACATACCTATATATAGGCATTAGAAATCGGTTTCAAGGATTCTCAAAATGAGAACTCTTCTTTCAGAACGATAATTTATGTAGGAAAATAATCTCCTTGGTCAGACAAAAGCATCGATATTTATGTTTTAAATTTTTTGATAACAAATATCACTGTGCGACAAAAAAATAATAATACTAAATAATTACAGAGAAAATCCAGCTGATTATGAAAGTAGAGCTAAAAATAGAAGACACGTGGTATTGCCGTTTTAAAAGTTTACACCTCAAAGTAACCTAAATAGAGGGAACAAGTTCACCTCGTCTTCTACATTTTTTGAAACTTTCAGATTAAGATTCCCTGGATTCCGTTGATCTCTGGTATATAGTGTTCAAACCAAATGTTGCCAATATCCTCTTCTTTAATCTTTGTGAACTAAATGTTACCATTCACGAAATAAGCAGTAGTTTGATAGATGGATTGCAGACCATTTACATAGTCTTTAGATCTTTTTTCGCAAGGTTTAATATAGAACTTTAAAATTTGATGAAGTTCTTTGGATTACTTCTAGAATAATTAGCTTAAAAATGGATCATGTCGATCCACTTTTTGGTATAGCCCCTATATAAGTCTGCGATTTCAAGTATTTTTTACATTTTGTTCATATTTTCCAGCCAAGACTGGCTATTGGACAGTGAGTGACTGAGTCAGTCCACCTTAAAATTTTAGATTAGTTCCTACAGTTCGTTTTAGGCACAGTTTGACAACATCTTTTATCAAAACTTCAAAACTTCTTACATGGTCCAAAACTGTTTCAACGTCTCCATATGTAAATCCTAGAAATTAACAGTGACTTCAATATCAAATTTCAGAATTGCAGCTCAAATCCTTTACCCAATTCCAAATCTAGTAACATTTATTATCCACAGTGAACCGAAATTAGTACCATTTAGTACTTCTCGAACAATTATAATACACTCATCCAAAACCCCACATTCATATCTCAATTCTAGATACCAACAGAGACCTCAATATCAAATAAATATCACGCAATACCAAATTTAGTACCATTTAGTACTTTTCGTAAAACCCTAGGATGGATTTCCAAACCACCGCTAAAACTTAACCTCAGATACATACCAACAGCTATCTATATATAAAATTTCAGTATTTCAGCTATATTCTTTCACCCAATACTAAATTTAGTGCCATAGTACTTTTTGAACAATTATCGTATGCATATCCAAAAACACCTCTGTATCTCAATTCCAGATACCAACAGAGCCCTCAATATCAAATTTGAGGATTCCATCCCCATTCCTTCACCCAATACCAAATTTAGAACCATTTAGTACTTTTCTTACAAATATCGGACGAATCTCCAAGCCACCTCCAAATCTTAACCTCAGATACATACCAACAGTTATTTAAATATCAAATTTCAATAATTCAGCTAATACTTTTCGTACAATTTCTGTACACATATCCAAAACCTCCTCCATATATCAATTCCAGCTACCAACAGAGACCTCAATATCAAATTTCAGGATTCCAGCCCCATTCTTTTCACGCAATACAAATTTAGTACTATTTAGTACTTTTTGTGCAAATATAGGACGTATTTCTAAACCATCGCCAAATCTAAACTGCAGATACCAACAGTTATCTAAATATCAAATTTCAGGATTTCGCCTATATTCTTTCATCCAATACCAAATTTAGTACCATTTAGTACTTTTCGTACAATTATAGTACACATATCCGAAACCAACTGCATATGTCCGAACTACTCATGAACAACGATCCTATTCCCAAATCTCAGATTTCAAGCACTATCTGTTCACCCAATGCCAAATTTTACCAAATATAGTACTATTTAGTACTTTTCGTGCACTTGTAGTTCAGATTTCCATAACCACCATTTTATCACCACCAACAGGACCCCCAAATACAATATTTAAAAATTCCAGCTTCATCCGTTATTCGAAATTTAGTACAATTTAGTACAGTATGCACACTTACTACACATTCCTAAAACCACCTTTATATATCAAATTTACTTTACAACCTTGACTCACATACCAAATTTCAGGTTGTTGTCTCTCTCCGTTTGCATAATACCAAATGGTACCATTTCAGCAGTTTAGCACCTTTTTTAAATCCTCCACCTTGAAAAGGAGGGTATATTAACTTTGTCATTCCGTTACTAACATCCCAAAATATTCGTCGTCGGTCCCATAAAGTATATATATTTATGATCTCCATAAAATTTTAAGTCGATTTAACAATGTCCGTCTGTCTATGTGTCTGTTGAAATCACGATACAGCCCACATTATTTGTCGTAGAGCTTCAAAATTTGGCAGAACAACTTGTATTGTGTCTAGGATGGGATATACCGGTCCACGTTTTCGTATAGCCGCCAAATAACGATACCTCAAGATATTCGGTATTTTGATAATATTCCCCACAATTTCACACAAATTTGTCTAAAAATTGGTATATGTAGGTCATAATAGGTTTTAGTTTCACTGACGGAACATTGCATGTATAGGTCCACTTTTTCGTACAACCCCCATATAACGGTACCTTCTGATATTCGGCATTTTGATTATTGGATTATTTAAAAATTGGTGTTTGTAGTGCTTAATTGGTTCTAGCTCCTTTGGCGGAACATATTATATAAAGGTCCACGTTTTCGTATAGCCGCCATATAACGGTACCTCCCGATATTCGGTATGTTGATTATTTTTGCCACTTTATTTCCACGGATTTGTCTAAAAATTGGTATTTGTAGTACTTAATGGGTTCTAGCTCCTTTGGCGGAACATATTACATAAAGGTCCACGTTTTCGTATAGCCACCATATAACGGTACCTCCTGATATTAAGTATTTGATGTTTTTTTGCCACATTTTCCACGGATTTGTCTAAAAGTTGGTATTTCTAGGTCATAATGGGTTTTAGTTTCACTGGCGGAACATTGTACGTATACGTCCATATTTTCGTATAGCCCCCATATAACGGTACCTCCCGATATTCGGTATTTTCTTAATTTTTTTTTACTTGGTTACGAAAGATTCTAAATCTCAAAGTTCGAATTTCCCAAAACCCCATATATCCTGTTCTCCATCAGTGACTCTAATTGTAAATTGTATAATAGCTTGCTCATTTTGTTTGTCCAATACAAATTATTCAATTTTTAGTACTTTCGTACCCTTTTAGTACGAATTTCCAAAAATTTAGCCTGATCACACGCCTATGCATCAAGGCTGATCCTTGTTCAAAATTTCATGATTCAAGTTTACGTCGTTTCGTTTGGGCGTTAATTCTCACCACGACTGGTCTTCGTTAAAAATTTCAAGATTCAAGTTTCAGCCGTTTCGTTTGGGCGTTGATTCTCAGTCAGTCATTTCACTAATCTTTTTTATAGATAGATTTCAAGGGACATATTTTAACGAAACATATTTTTTGAAAAAAGGACCAAAAGGGGTCTCCTTTGGTGATTCACTTGAGGCTCATATTTTTTAACCAAAATAATCCTCGTGTTGTTTTTAGTAATATGACCGAAAATAGAAATATATATATAATGCAAGAATTTCAAGAAATCCTTATTTGAAAATTAAAAAAAAACTTGTAAGAGTTGGAGACCTGCCTCCCCGATTTAGGTTACTTTGAGATGCAAACTTAAAAAAAAACGATACACGCGTATTCTGCCTCTACATTCATAATCTGCCGGATGTTCTCTGGAATTATTAAAGAATTTGAGTTTTGTTGCACAGTGTTATTAGCTCTACTTTCATAATCTACGGGTTCTTCCTGCAATTATGGATAACATTTTATTTTGTCGCACAGTGTAATCATGGTTTTTTCAAGAACATTTCTTTAGGTTTTCTCAATTACCTCTAACCGCGAATTTCTCAGGAGTATATTCTAGGGTAAATTCTAGACATTTCCTATTTTCAAACATGAATTCATTAAGAATGTTCCCAAAAAAAAACTCTCTAATTTAGAATTTTTAGTTTTCTATAAATCTTCCATAATTTTCAAAAAAAATATAAATAAATGCTGTATTCAATAATTCCATCAAAATTTCCCCACATTTCCATTTACATTGATAGGGCAACACTGTACAAAATGTAAACAAAGATTTATATTTTTATTTTGTTTTCTTCATTTGGTCTTATTTTTTGCATTCGCTGCTCCAAACCCCATCATGAAACCAACAAACCTGCCAACCAGCCAACTAGGCATTCAGTCAGCTCCAGATGCCCCGTCATAGCAAAACTGCGGAATAAAGAGTAGTGATAAAAAGAAAAGGAAAAATGAAACACAAATTGCTGCAACAGAGCATTGGTTCAGTGTTTACGTAAAAAACGAAAAGAAAAAAAAGAGAACGAACGAAACAGTGGCAGCATATGGGGTCCTGAATGGCGGCCAACATAAACAAATCTATAGCTAACTCAAACCAAATGAAATTATGGAGGGAAATTAAAAAGAACGAAAACAAAAAAAAAAAAAAAAAAAAATGAAAACAAATGTCAAAGAGAGTGCGGCTAGACATATGACTGTTACGGTTAACATATCAGCTGGGAATTTTTCTCCAACCAAACACACACACACTCATGCACAAACACCCACCCATCGGCCAGACAGCAAGTCAGCCAGTCAGTCACAATAAATAACAAAATTTGCCGGCCAGGACTTACTTTGCTGCTCTACCAAAAAAGAGCCCCCCACCAAAAAATATACAAAATTATTTAATTAAATTAATTATTTTTAAAATCAAAGACAATCCAAACTAACAGAATGCACATTTTTGCTTTTAGAATGTCGAAAAATGACAAAAACAAATCGGGCGGCGGCCTCTTGGAAAGTTGGTTTGGCCGCCCAAAAGCCAAAGGCAATAACTACAGTACCGGTACGCTGTCGGGGCGACCCACATCTACAGATGGCGAGGTTGCCTTCGATATACAGGAACTGGAAAAGACCATACGAGCTCTGAGCGACTCCGAAGTGGATGCCAAATTTATGGAAATTCTGGAAGATATGAATATACCCAAGGATAAACGGGGGCCACTGCTATCGAAATCGATAACAGAACGTCAGAAAATGATTTTCATGCATTTGAAAGGTAAGTTGAACAGAAATAAAATTTACTTTTTTATCATATCTTCATAAACATTGCTGATGTTTCAGTTCATTTCGTTGTTATTTCGCATTCCATAGATAAGATTATGAGAATTCAAGAAAAAAAATTTCGTCACTTTGCTGAAACTGAAACAAGTGTTTCTTTTTTGTTAATACTGTTGGCGCTTAATGAGAAGTGTGTAATTGAAAAAAAAATTGTATGATTCATTTTTTTCGCCTGGAATTCATATTGCAATGAAGAGATTAATTCGTGAAGGTTGTATTTTTGTTCCAAATTGTTGAATATTGGAATATATCATACCACAATGCATGGATCAAGGATCACGGAAATCAATCCTTAAGATTATACCCCTTAACACCATGCCAATTTCACATAAGATAGACTTAGATAACCCATTGGGGTAAAAAAAGGAGTTGTCTAATATCATAATACCAAAGTCTGCATAACTTCATGATCAAAATTATAAGCTACTATAAAATGGATAATATCGGCCATCTGCTGTTGATACCTGGTCACAAAGAATCAAAACTTTAATGCAGCTATAATTTTTAGTTGTAAAATTACAGGAAAATCCAAGAGGATTCTGAAAGTAGAACTAAAAAGTAAAAAAAACTTTAAGTTCGGCCGGGTCGAACTTTAATACCCTCCACCGACCATTGGGTAAAGAAAACATTTTTATATAATAGTATCTGAATTCAAACGTTTTCCGCTTTAAACTACAAATATCAGTAAGGCAGTTTGGAAAATGCTGTTAAACCTTTTCAAAAAACCATAAAGTGGAGGAGGCCGTTATATAATGAGGCCATACCAAAACGGGACCCTCCATAGACAATTTTATACTTCAAGGATTGTCATCTACCAAATCTTCTTAAATACCAAATCTGACACAATTTCGTGGGTAAATGTGATTAGGATTATCAAAATACCGAGTATCGGTGGGTATCGTTATATGTGCGCTGTAGGAAAACATGTACCTAAATTTTGAATGTTCTGCCGCCACAGCTAGAATCCATTATGAACTACAAATACCAATTTTTGGACAAATTCGTAATAAAATGTGGCAAAAATCATCAAAATACTGAATATCGGGAGGTACCGTTATGGACCTACATATATATACTATATTCCGCCACCGGGGCTAGAACCCATTGCGAACTACAAATAACAATTTTTGGACAAATTCGTGGAAAAATGTGGCAAAAGTCATTAAAATACCGAATATCGGGAGGTACCGTTATATGGGGGCTATACCAAAACGTTTCGCCACCGAAGCTAGAGCCCATTGCAAACTACATATACCATATTGGCCTATTCCCGGCGAAGCGCTTGCTTGAGGTGATCGAAACTTTGATATTTTTTAGTGCCAACCTTGCTTTACCAAATACTGCAGACACAATAGTCCAACGGATTTGTATACGAAGATTTTGGTGGCCATTGTGAGCTGGAAATGAAGCGAGGAACCTCATTTTGTAACCATTCTTGGGTGGCTCGTGCTGAGTGCGATGGTGCTGAGACCTGTTAGAATTTCCAAGGTCTGCGGCCAAAATGTTTGCGTGCCCAAGGCTTTAATACACCCTTTAGAATATATTGGCGATAATCTTCGGCATTTATTCTCATGCCACGGTCGATTAATACGAGCGGAGAGCGACCATAGGCTGTTAGGGCGGCCCACACCAACCCCATGGCCGGCGCTTGAGTTCTGGTGGCCAACCGAAGGTGCACATTTTCAGCTGACCTCTTTGGCAAGTACGAACACGATAATTTTGTTTGTTTACAAACTGCTGGACAACGAATATTTTCTCATCGGAAAAAACAAAAATCGGCAGTTTACCACTTTCGGCCAAGCGAAGCTACTCTTAAGCACTTTTGAGTCTATTTTCTTTCTGTTGCGGTGCAAGTTCTTGCACTTTTTGGAATTTCAATGGCTTTACCCCGAGCTCATTTTTCAATATTTGCCGAATGGAATATTGCGATATGTTCAGCTCATGAGCCATTTTTCGGCCACGGCGTTGCGGGTTTTGATCAAGTCGCTTTTTTATATTTCGAACCATTCCTGCTGATTTTGCTGTTTTCTACTACCTTGACGTCGGGCTACGTAGTACCAGTATCACGATAACGAGCGATGGTACGATGGACACAAAAGATTTATTCACATTTAAACGCTGGAGTGCTCTAACGATAGCCACTTGTGGTTTTCCAGCCAAATATAAAGAAATTTTACTATAACGATTGAATTCCATCACGAATAACTTTTTTTCTGGAAAATTCTCACCAAAATGCTTTGTACGCTTGTAAACAATATAATGAGATGTCACTGAAATAATTTTTACAGCTGTCGAACAAGTGGCTTAGAAATGACAGCAGTCTGAAGTTGGTTGCAGTTTTTTCATCTCACCCTGTTGAAGTTGTCTTATAGGTACCCGTTTTGGTATGGCCCCCATATAACGGCCTCACTTTATGGTTTTTTGATAAGTTTAACTGCACTATCCAAACTTTCTCAACGGTATATGAAGCTTAAAGTGGAACACGTTTGAATTCTGATTGTTTTATATGAAAATGTTTCCTTTACCCAATGGTGGAGGGTATTAAAAGTTCCTAATATTTTTTACTTGTTAAGAATGTCTACGTTTTGAGAAAAATTGTAAATATTTTGATATTTTTATTTTCAAATGCAATATTTTTAATTAAATTTAAAATATTCCAATTACCATTTGAATGTGTGCTGTTTCATTTTTGGAAGAAACAGCCGAAATTTATTTAAGCATAAAAAAGTTAACTCTGCAATACTTCATAGTTTTATCTATCGCGATAAAAAACCGCTTGCTTTTTTTTAATTTGTCTTTTGGCATTAAAAGTTTATCCAAAACAAATGTTGTTGTTTATTTATATTTAAGAAAAAATGTGTGGTTAAACTAACAAAATTTTGATAAGACTATCCATCCCATCCAGCGTTTGTAGTTGAGTAGAGGGTTCGTGCCGTAAACACATGTGGGATTCAAACGTTTTTCGAGTCCACTCAAATCATGTGCTAAATGTCTGCCGTTGTTGTTCGATAGAACAAACACTTTGCATAAACATGATTTTCAAAATTGTTGTTTATCGAATATGGCCATGGCTTTAGGTGGTGTCAACAAAATATTTTGAATTTTGTTTTTAAACTCTAAACAAATACAAATAAAATTTAAGGTTTAATGTACGCCAGCGGGGAAAGGTTATAATGTCTAGAGGCCATTTGTCGCAAAATGTTGTGTTTTTCTTATCGCCATTTTCTATGATAAACATTTTTCAAATTTATTAGTACAAAATAAACATGCATATGCCACGAGTGATTAAATCAAATTTCATCATCCAGTTACTCTAAGAGTCTAGATTCAGGTGCCCTCTACTTCATCGGCGAAAAGTCCAATTCAAAATTTTAGAATCGTTCCAAGAGTTAATGTTCGGCCTTTTTTATACCCTCCACTATACTATAGAGGGTACATTAACTTTGTCATTCCGTTTGTAACTCCTCGAAATACTCATGTCAGACCCAACAAAGTATATATATTGATCAGCGTAAAATTTTAAGTCGATTTAGCCATGTCCGTCTGTCCGTCTGTCTGTCTGTCTGTTGTAATCACGCTATCTATCGAACTAATTGAGATAGAAGGCTAAAATTTTTCACACATGCTTATTTTGGCAGTAGGCAGATTAAATTCGTAAATGGGTCATCTAGGTCCACGTTTTCACATAGCCCCCATATAACGGTACCTCCCGATATTCGGTATTTTGATGATTATTGATGATGATTATTCAACGGAATTGTTTCAAATTTGGCATTTGAAGTTCGTAATGGATACTACAGCTTATGACAGAAAATTGTCTGTGCAGCTCCACGTCTTCGTATAGCCACCATATAACGGTTCCTCCCAATATTCGGTATTTTGATGATTTTAGCGTCATTATTCACCGGAGTAGTTTCAAATTACGTATTTAGAGTTCGTAATGAAAACTACAGTCTGTGCCAGAAAATTGTCTATGCAGGTCCAGGTCTTCGTATAGCTCCGATATAACAGTACCTCCCTAAATACGGTATTTTGATGATTTTAACTACATTATTCACCGTTTATTTCAAGTTTGGAATTTGAATATGGTAATGGCTTATGCCAAACAAAACCTATGTAGGTTCACGTCGTAGAGACCCCAATATAACGGCTATATTCGGTATTTTTAAGATTTTAACAGAATTTTTTACGGATTTTTTTTGAAAATTTCCAAATTCGTTCCAAATGGTGGAAGGTATTCAAAGTTCAGCCCGTCCGAACTTACTGCTTTTTAACTTGTTTAGTACTCAAAATGCACATTTTGTTCAGTTTGAGGATTTTTTACTCAAAACTGCATACATCGTTTCTCTTCATTCTCAAACTTTCAAGGTTTTATATATTATTCAAGTTGTTTGCCTTTTACACCATTTTTTTTTTTAAATCTTTCATTTTAAAATTTAGCGAGGAGGATATTAGTAAAATTATTGCACAATAGACCCACACCCAATTTTCTGCCCAAAACTGTTTCCATGTCTCCCTCCATATGTGACCTCAATATGAAAGTTCAGGATTTTAGCTCTATCCCTTCACCCAATACCAAATTTAGTAACATTTAGTACGCCTATCAAAAATAATTTATATCTATCCCCGCTATATATTAGTACCATTTAGTACTTCACAAAACATTTATAGTACTCATTTGAAAAACCACCACCAGGTATCAAAAGCAGATACCAACAGAATTCTCAATACCAAATTTGAGTATTTCAACCCTATTCCTTTTCTGAATACCAAATTTAGTACCATTCTGTACTTTTCGTTAAGTTTTGGTACACATTTCCAAAACCACCTAGATATACCATCAGAAACCTTAATATCAAATTTGAGGATTCCAGCCCTATTCCTATACTCAATACCAAATTCAGTAGCATTTAGTACTTTTCGTACAAATATAGGACG